TTACAGAAATATACAATAGAGTAACGGATATTAAATTACAGAAATATACTGTCAAAAACGGATATTAAACTACAGAAATATACTGTAAAATTACGGATATTAAACTACAGAAATATACTGTAAAATAACGGATATTAAATTACAGAAATATACAATAAAAAACGGATATTAAATTACAGAAATATACTGTCTAAAACGGATATTAAACTACAGAAATATACAATAAAATAATGGATATTAAACTACAGAAATATACTGTAAAATAATGGATATTAAATTACAGAAATATAATGTAAAATAATGGATATTGAACTACAGAAAGGTACAATAAAATAACGGATATTAAATTACAGAAATATACTGTGAAATAATGGATATTAAACTACAGAAATATACTGTAAAATAATGGATATTAAACTACAGAAATATACTGTAAAATAACAGATATTAAATTAAATTAAATAACCTTCTGGTTTACATCTTTTTCTCTATCATGCACTTTTATTTTTGTTTTATTACTATTTTACTCTCATTTTCACACTTGATTTTGTCCCTGTATTGTTCCCACCCTATTGACCCTCTTTCCCCAAACAATTCTCTCTCTCTCTCTCTCTCTCTCTCTCTCTCTCTCTCCTCTCTTCCTATTGATCGACACATAGTGAGCTCTGTTCTTCACTGTGAGCCTCGCTTTAATCAATACAGATAATTGTCTGCTCTCTCTCTCTATCAATGAACCCCTAACCACCCTAAGTCTGGGATTCCCCGTCTTAATGACCAACAGTAACCTGTTCTCTCTCTCTCTCTCTCCATCGATTGCTGTGGGAGCGATTGACTCACATGTGTAAACATGCTGCTCGATTGTGCTGCATCCAAGTCTCTTCAACTATTCCCACATGGTTCTTGTGGAGAGAGACTTTTCAGTGTTCGACAGGTTAAAAACGTGTGATCTGATTCTCATTGGAAGATCACGTTGTACCTACTCAACGACTCTACAGTCCCTTTCACACATACAGACTTTTCCGAAAATTACTAGTAAATTGCCATGAAGAGATCATGTGTGAAGAGATCTTTTTTAAAAATCCTGAAAATTTTGTAGCCGCAGTTTTCCTGAATGTGAAGTTACCAATAAATTGTCAAATGTCTGCTGTGTTTGAACGCAGAAGGAAAATTGCTAGTTTGAGCTTGTACAAGTTCAGAACACGCTGACGTGCGACGTCTACTCCAGCTAATCAGAACATTCTGATGCCGATGATGCATTCACTCCACTGCAAATAAGACTTTGAAACTTTTGTCAAGAGTCCAGACACATTGTTGCTGATTAATCAGACAACACTTATATATATACTTATATATAAAAATTATGAAATATTAATATTAAATTAAGTGTTTTCAGTTTATTTATGTTTGTAAATTGCATTATGGGATGTTAATCTCTGCTCTGTCAACATTTTTTGATGTTGAAAATTCAACTCTACATTTCAACAATGTAACTTTTATTGACATTTCAGTAGTTTGAAATAATATAATGTATAAGAAAATATATATAGAGAGAGAAATAAGTCTGTAAAATAACAGAAAATGCACTGGCAGTCTATTATGGTTTTGTATTGTGATTATACAACATCAACCCAGACAATATATCCCTTTAAACTATTAAAAATGTTAATAAAAGTCACTTTTTGGAACTTTTCAAGGTTAAAAGTTGTTGGAAGAATGTTCAAGGTTTCATAATGCAATTCAAACACATAAATAAATGGTGAAAAATAAAAACATGAATCACAAAATATGGAAAACTGCTCATTTACGGATGTTTTTAAAATGTATGTTTCTTGTTAGTGCCAACTGTGAAAAAAAATATTGATAAAACTTATGATAAACCATTGTAAATTTACCTGCAAGATGCAAGACATACTCAAACATAGCTCTCTACATGCAAAAGTGTGCTGTCCACATCTCTTTATCAGAGTTGTTCACAATACTTTATCTACAGAATTGCCCATGTCAATCAATCAGAGCACTGTGTAGCCCGACTGGATCTCATGGCAATTATTAGCTTTTGGATTTATTGGCTAATTAGTTTGAATTCATACGATCTCATTCAATTTAATATGATTTGCTTATCCCCCAATGACAGCTGGGTTTAAGAGCAGGGTTGGGTGAATTTTTTTTTTTTTTAAATCGTACATTTTTTACAAATTCAAACATAATTTATTACAAAATTGACAAAATGTAAAACAAATATGTTTCCCTGTGAGATCAGGCTGTGCACCTATATGTGTTACAAAACACTTTTTTTATTATTTTTTTAACGTTTTTAAGCTGCAGCTCTGACTTCAGATAGTAGTAACATTTTTCTCCTATAGTTCAGTATTTTGGTTTGTCTCTGGGACAAAAGCAGATGCATGAATGCGAACATTTGAAATAAAATGAAGCCGTCAACAAAAAATTTGTTCCTCTTCATGTCTACAAATACAGGCGCAGCCATTAGAGGTCATTTATGGTTAATGGCATCCGAATTTATTGATATTTTAAAATGGGTGTGTGAATAGTGCTTTTCCGGAAAAATTATAGAACGTCCTTGTCTGTGTCAACAGTGCATTTTTAAAATGTTGTTGCAGTAATTTTAAGAAAATATACCTCTACTACTGTGTGAAAGAGGCTCATGATTTAAAAGATGGATAGGAACACTTTTGGAGGTTTGTTCGCACTTGCAGATTGGAATCTTGTAGTGTGGATGAAATTATTTGGTCCAGGTTTGCTTATAGCATTCATGCTGTCATTATGAATTGTGTACACACAAAACCTTCAAAATAATGCACATCTTGTGCCATCATGCCATGTTTTTGATCTGTTTAGATTCTTTGGGTCTGTGTTACATTCATATTCCATTCAAAATGCAAACTGAGATTTCCAGAAGGCTTCAGTCTACTTGTTTGGAGTGAACCATGTAGGGTTTGAACACTCAGACTTATTTACATTGACAAACAGAGCAATAACGCTATGGTTTGTTTTAATTGATCCAAATCTGCAAATGTGAACACATTATCTAACTTTTATGGACAGAGATGATATTAATCATATGAAAATCTTTAGATTAATACATTTTGTCAAGAATTAGTAAATGACGGCAGAACTTTCATCATTAAGTGAACTACCCCTTTAAATATATAAAGTATTATAAATATTTTAAAATGTTTAATAATTTATTGCTATTTGTTATATCTATACAATTTATTTAAACAAAAATATATAAAAAACTCAAATTAGAAGAGTCATTAAAATAACAAATTATATTTTAATATAATAAATAAATTAATATTATATAATTTAATCTAGATTAGTTAAATATTTTAAACTTTTCATTATTTTGAAATAAAATTATACATAAAAGAGGGAAATTTGGAAACAATTTTGGATTAGAGCATGTTGCAGGCAAGATCTGAATTTATTTATTATTGTAATATTTTTATTTTGCTTTATATTTATATAAGTATACAGTTAGTTATAAAGAAAGTGTATGTTTAATATTATATTACTTTGTACTGGGGCACAGAAAGAGAGAGTGAGAGAAAGAGAGGGGAGAAAATTACTCAAGTGACTTAGAGATCAGGGTTTATTGCCGACCAGATTTGAATCTCCATTTTCCACATGAACAGCAAGGCTCAATTTCTAGAATATGTGCACTAGACCAATGTCATTCTAACTCACTCCATAAGGACAGAGGAGATGTGCAGATGCAACTTTAAATTCCCCAAGGTCAAAGTTTAGTCTCTGCAGGTCAGACATTTTCAGCTAGGTATAATGGAGAATTAATATTTATAGAATAGTGTGTGTGCTCTGGGATAGGCAGAGAGGCTCTAGAAAGCGTTTTCTTCATCATGACAGTGTGGTTTTGTTTGGTCGAGGTGTGAGAGAGAGGGCAGGAAGGGGTGAGTGTTGAGGTGAGATTTTTTGCTTTGCCAAACTCCGATTTAAAAATGAGGAATTCTGTGAAGGGGGAGATTACAGGTGACACAGGACTCATTCCAGAGTGTGACGTCCCACTGGGATCTGAACACACACACACATACTCAAACTGGGAACATGTCTCTTTGGTGTTCACACAATTCACAGGGCCAGTCTTCATTCTGTGTTATGTTTTCTGTGTGTGTGTGTGTGTGTGTGTGTGTGTGGGGGGGGGGGTGTGTGTGTGTGTGTGTGTGTGTGTGTGTGTGTGTGTGTGTGTGTGTGTGTGTGTGTGTGTGTGTGTCAAAGAGTGACAATATATATAGTGCTGGATAAAGCTGCATGGTTTTATGAATAGAGAGCTGAACAAAGTAATGTTGTATTTGTTGTGTTTTGGGGTAAAAAAAAGTTACCTTACTGCTGTCTATTTAATAATACTTCATTTGATTTTAGTTTGAGGAAAAAATATATAATAATAATAATAATAATAATAATAATAATAATAATATAATGACTGGCTTATAAAGAAATTCTATGACTCACATTTGTTTAGGATGAATCAGCATTTTGAATGAATCTATTGAATGACCGATTCAGTGGCAATTTACATTACTATTTTCAGCTAAAAAACGTTTTTAATTTTCAGCTAAAAACTTTTAATTTAATTTAATTAATTTTGCCCATTGAATTTCGCGAATATGTATCAAATGTGTGTAGACTCAGCGCAATCTCATGGCAATTCGTAACTTTTTAATTTAGTGTCTTATTTGTATGAATTCGTATGATCTCATTCATACAATTTAGTACGATTTGCTCATCCCCCAATGAGGGTCGGGTTTAGGGGTGTGGTTTGGTGCCATGCCTCCTTTTTAAAATCGTACACTTTCATACGACTGAACTTGTATGAATTCATCTGAATAAGCCACTAAACTGACAAAACGTAAAATAGTTACGTTTCCTCGTGAGATCAGGCTGGTAGACTACAAAAAAAATGTGATTTATTAAATGATATTTTATGAAATTAGTGACACTGTGCGTATGTGTTTAATCTACAGGCGAGAACAGCTATGGCAGACTACTGGATTGTGAGTACACAGACATGAAGTGTTTCTTAACAATGTTGCTGCCATCTAGTGGCCTGCATAGTACTATACATTTGTTAATCATTTTCATGGATCCATGTAAATAGAGATGGTTTTGATGATGATGTTGTCAGTATGCAAAACTCTTTACAACACAAAGGTGTCAGTGTGTCTAGCCTTGTGGTTAAAGGCGCAGACATGTACAACCCAGGCTCATTCTGAAAACGTACCACTATATACATTTCTGAAGAGCGCCAAATACTTCTCAGTAGATACATTTTTTGTCCAGTTTCTGTTTTCACAAATCCACCAGAGGCCGCTGTGTACATTTTTTAAGATCTCAAATTTCTCTCGCAAGTGCCATTTGCGTCTGCTGTTCTCACATAAATCCACCAGAGGCCACTATCGACTGGCTGACTGAATGACTGTTCGACTGACCCACCTTCTTTTTCCCTAAACCCAACCAACAGACTTAAAAAGAAATCCAGAAAAAGAAAAGCCCTTGTCTGATTTTTTTTAACCAAGTTTTCAGATTTTACCACATTCTCACCCTGTTTTTTATTTGTTTATTTAATTTTTTTTGGCTTCTGTTTTTGTCTTACCCACTTTCTGGAATCGTTCTTTGCCAGACTCGATCCCCGTCATCATGGTCAACTCCTCTCTGCGTCTCAAATTTGCCGGCATACATGGCGAGCTACTGAACAAACTGGTAACAGCCGTAAAGCCGTCCATATGAAAGTAAGCGGTCAGCTGGTAAGAGTGAAAAAGGAACCGCGTCAAACCACCCCATAGCATTTATTTTAACGATAAAATACAGCCAAACGTACTTCTGGCTACATAATTTTCAATCTCCAGAAACGTATATATGGCTACGTTTTCAGAATGAGCCTATGCTGGACATAGATAGCACCCCAGGTTTCTTCCCACATCTCTTCTGTCCTATCTGCAAAGCATAAAAATGTCCCCCCAAAATTTAATAGCACAAAAGAAAAAGTTTTCTATTTGTAGTACACTTTTTGTAATGCAGAAATAGTGATACTATGATGTTGAAAGGACTAAAGACCCTGTTTTTAAAAACTATACACCACAACTGCTCTCTCTGAATCAGAGGCAAACACAGATTTCCACTGTGATCATACAGCACTTGTCAGAGGTGTAATAGGCAGTCAATGCATTGTCATTTAAGAATAAAAATCAATGGGTGTTTAATTCAAAATCGCAACCTTTTAATGATTAATCGTTCAGCTCCAGTCCCACACTTACACATCTCCATCGATTTCATCCCACATTTATTCATGTGCTATTAAATATCTAGAAACAATGGTGAGCTGAGGAGATAAGAGAACTGTAGCGCATTCGTAGACTATTGAAATATTGATATATTTTCTTAGCTTTGTGTCTCTTTTGGCTCTTTCTTTACCAGATTATGTCTCCTCTCGCCTTCTCTCGCTCGTCTTCAGTCAAGCCTCAAGGATAGAAACCTTGAATTTGAATTTCAGAGGCAAAGAAAGAGAAAGAAGGGGGGGTAGGGTGGGGTTGTGCTCTTAGGGAGCGGTCGTTGAGAAAGTGCCTCTAATGGGCGTCTGTGCACTGCCCCCTGCCTAGGGCCCCGATCGATACCGACTCAGAGCAATAAAGCTTTCCCCTGTCATCTCCACAGAATACAAAGCAGTATGGGGAAAGAGAGAGAGGGAGAGAGAGATAGGTGAAAAGCTGTTCCGCTAGCCAGGCCGATTTCCTACACCCCCCCCCCCCCCCGCTCTACTAGCCCATCTACCCCCATCTAACAGCAGTCGAGCCCCCCCTCCATCCTTCTCTCCATCTCACAGTCCACCTTTTCTTTCCTTTCCCCAAATGTAGCACGGCTCCCCTGTGCCGCCTCTGAGTAGGGCTTGATATCTCCCTGCGCTCATGAGGAGAGGGATAAATAATGGCCAAAGAAACTCTTATTTTAGTTATTATCACAAACACTGAGACAAGGACGGATAGAGAGAGACGGCCAAGTGGGGCATAAAAAGGAAAGGAAATTAAACAATAAAAGAGGTAAGAATTGGCAGCTGGAAAAGGATGGAGAGACAAAGAGAGAGAGAGAAGGAGAGGTGTAGTTTAGGAAGTGAAACAGGATGAGAAGAGAACGAAGGGGGAATGAAGTGATACAGAAAGGAGGGGGGCGGAAAGCGAAGGAGAAGGGGATTATGGGAGAGAGAAAGATGGATGTTGTGATAAAGATGGAGGGTGAGAGGGAATATTGATGAGTAGGACTGACAGGCGGGCAGGAGACAGCGAGAAGGAGGGGAAAAAATGCAGCGGGGAAAAGGTGAAAGGCAGGTTAAAGGTCAAATTATTCCGGAAAATGTAAACCAATAATATTTAATCTGCGCTACAACACTGACACTAATGGAAAAGACAGAAACTGAGGCGGAAATCAAATAGGGATGTGCAAAGCTAATACTATTCATGGAAGATAAGTCACACCTGATTATAAGTTGCACCAGATCAAAATAGCTTTGTTGAAATGGAAATCACACACATACACTAGTACAGCTATCTTTATGGGGACTTTCAGTAGTCATAATGATTTTTTAAACTATATATTCTGTATATTATATCCCCTACCTCAACCTTTACTAAACCAAACCCTTACTGGATACAGTTAGTGTTTTTTACATTTAAAAATGTTTTAATTTTATGTGATTTATTAGACATTTTCCTCACAAGGGCTAAACAAAAATGACCCTGCATGGTCAGAATTGACTAGTATTACTATTAAGTAGGCCCAAACCGAATCTGTGCTTACGTACCATCCTCTTTCCCTAAACCTAGCCAATATATATTTGCAAAAGCACCAATTGACCCGCCCATCCTCTTCCCTTAACCCAGCCGACAGTGTTTTGAAAAGCAATCCAGAAAAAGAAAAGCCCTCGTCTGTTTTTTTTTTTTTTAAACCACGTTTTCAGATTTTACCACATTCTCACCCTGTTGTTTACTTGTTTATTTAATTTTTTTTGGTTTCTGTTTTTGTCTTACCCACTTTCTGGAACCGTTCTTCGCCAAACTTAAACCCCGTCATCGAGGTCAACTGCTCTCAAAACAGCTTTGTTCAGATGGAAATCACACACACACACTAGTACAGCTATCTTTATGGGGACTTTCTGTTGATGTAATGATTCTATATTCTATCCTCTACCTCAACCTTACTACTAAACCAAATCCTACTGGATACAATTAGCATTTTTACTTTGTAAAAATACTTAATTCTATGTCATTTATTGGCCATTTTCCTCAGAGGGACCAAACCCCACAATGTCAGCATTTACTGGTATTACTAATAAGTAGGTCCAGATGGAATCTGTGCGTGCAGAAATCTGCAGATTTCCACATAATTTTAGCCCATCATTGAGTCTTTTTTATTTGTGTAAATATATATTTATTCATTTTTTTTATTAATTTCAGTAATATTATTGACTAATATGAACATATTCATATGATTTATTTACTATACAGCTTGTAAAGTAATATTTTCTGTATTTTAGTATATATATTATATGATAGACTTGCTTTGTTTACCAATTAAGTGGATCTAAAGTTGAAGTCAGAATTATTAAACCCCCTGAATTTTTAGCCCCCTTGTTTATTTTTCTCCCAATTTCTCTTTAACAGAAATATTTTTTCAACGCATTTTTAAACATAATAGTTTTAATAACTCATTTTTACCAACTGATTTATTTTATCTTTGCCATCATGACAGTAAATAATATTTGACTAGATATTTTTCAAGACACTTCTATACAGCTTAAAGTGACTTTTAAAGGCTTAACTAGGTTAATTAGGTCAACTAGGCAAGTTAGGGTAATTAGGCAAGTTATTGTATAACAAAGGTTTGTTCAGTAGACTATTGAAATAAAATATGGCTTAAAGGGGCTAATAATTTTTACCTTAAAAGGTTTTATTAAAAATTAAAAACTGCTTTTTTCTAGTCGAAATAAAACAAATAAAACTTTCTCCAGATGAAAAAATATTATCAAACATACTCTGAAAATGTCCTTGCTCTGCATCATTTGGGAAATATTTTAAAAAGAAGAAAAACATTCTAAGGGGGTTTAACTGTGGATGGATTTGCATTGTAAACATTAAATGAAAGTTAAAACGCTATTATTTTTTTGTTAGTTTAGATACTCCTAAAATAATTCCACATAAAACCACAGATTTTTTTTACAATATTCTACGCAGAAATAGCAAAAAAGGTCAGCAGATTCTGTCTGGCCATACTAATAAGGAATGCAATGTACACACACACTTCATTTTATGTTTATAATTAAAAATAATATTAAGCCTAAAACTTAGTAGTAAAAATATATGTTCATATTAAGATTATAAATTACTATAGGCCTGAACAAATGTATTAATTACAGGAAAGTAAAACGTGTTGTGTGGGGAAATGCACTTCATAAATGTTCCATATTGGCACCAATTATTTGCTTGCTTGATGTAAATTGCATTTTATAAAATTCTTATTTTTCGACGTAAGATGCAATTCTTGTGTCTAAAAACAATCGGCACTGCGCAATTTCAAGTTGAAGCTTGACATGCGCCAAATAAAACTTTTTAAAGCTAACAATTCAAACAAACAAAAAAGCCAATCTCTCCAGTTGACCATCCTGACCTGTCCGTCATGTCAAAGCAAACGGTTCCTTGTGAAAGTGACAGTGTAGGTGTGAACGTGTCTGTGTTTGTCCTCCATCACCGTCCGCTTGTGCTTTTTCTGCGTGACAGCTCTAGAGTCGCTCCGTCATTACGCCGCTGTCAACCTAATAACATCTCTTCCTCATCTCTCAAAAACAACGCTTTCTGTGTATGTGCGCCTCATCTCTTTTGTTGTACCCTCACCCCTCCATCCTCCCCAATTCAATCCCTCATTTCTTCTTTTATTGGAAAAAGATGGGATGAATCCTTCATCTTCTCTCTTGTAATGCTCTTCTGTTATTATACTGCACTATAGGGCA